GGCGCTACGTGAGGTCGTAGGTTAATAGATTGTTCCACCTGAAAAGCACGCACGGCACGAGAATATTGTAATTACGAATTCAAGACATAATCTATGATTTCTATCTGAATTAACGCTGCTCCGGTGGGTAGTAGTTATGTAATATTCTGCGCACCTCTGCGTGCATGCCTACACGCCTCGCGATGATCGTATTGAAATCCTTACTATATATAAACCACGTCCTTGGTGTGTCTGTTTGTTTGTCTGTCTGTTTGTCTGTTTGTCGTCGCAAATTTCAGTATCATCTGATGAAACACCTGGAGAAGTCGGGTCAAGTTTGGAATGGGCTGAGCATAGGGTAAGTGCAACAGAGCACATGTGAGTCTAGCGGGGCACGCGCTGGAATTGGGCGGGGTCATGGGCTAATTCTTCTCATTCGGTCTCATAACAGTCCAGATGCCGGGAAAAAATGTGCATAGGTGAGGGATGGGTCAATAACTAAAGTAGAGGAAACTTACCGGCGGTGGGCGGAGCATTCTCGCAGTGGGCGGTACTTTTCACAGAGATTCATAACTCGATTCAACGAAGGCGTCCAGGCCAGGAAAATAATAAAAAGAGTGAGCACGGCCTTATGCGTGGTGTTCATGCGTAAGCTTAGCGAGGCCCCGCCCACAATGGGCGGGGCGTGCGTTAAGGTGAAAGCTGCTTTATAAAAATGAGTGTAACTTCGCTCGGAAACGTTCTAGAATGCCGGAAAAAGTGGTTAGAGGTAGTGGAACAAATGTGGCCAAATCCCAGAAGTGGGCGGGGTTGGCACTAAAGCGGGCGGGGTTGGCGCTGAAGTGGGCGGGGCTTAGATCAAAAGTTTATAACTCCATTCAGAAACGTTCTGGGATGCGGCAGAAGGGTACTAAGGTGTAAAAGAACAAATGTGGTCAAATTCCAGAAGTGGGCGGAGTTGGCACTACAGTGGGCGGGGTTAGAACAAAATTTATAACTCTATTCAGAAACGTTTTGGGATGCGGCAAAAAGGTATTAAGGTGTAAAAGAACAAATGTGGTCAATTTCCAGAAGTGGGCGGAGTTGGCAGCAAAGTGGGCGTGGCTTAGATCAAAAATCTNGTGGGGGCTTGGGCAAAATTATGACTCTACTCAGAGACGTTCTGAGATGCGGTGAAAAGGTGTTAAAGTGTAAAAGAACAAATTGGGCCAAATCCCAGAAAAGGGCGGAATTGGCACTAAAGTGGGCGAGGCTTAGATCAAAAATTAGAAACATTCTGGGATGCAGGAAAAAAAGTGGTGAAATGTAGTAGAACAAATGTGGCAAGATCCCACAAGTGGGCGGGATGGGCACTGAAAAGGGCGGGGCTAACATCAAAATTATTAATTCTCCTCGGATGCGTCTTAAAACGCGGAAAAATGTGTCTGGAGGTAATAAAAGTATTATGGTTCGAAGTCTGAGGTTGGTGGGATTTGCAAAATTTAGGCGGGCTGAGATCAAAAATTTTTGTATCTGTCCTTCACACTAACCCTCACCACATAGGTGTACAACTAGGGGATACCACTAATCCCTCTCAAAAATTCGGCTAAAAGTTTTCTAAAAGTTAGCATCCATGGTTCCACACACAGTAGTCCCTTCTACATCAGAGCAAATGCATTACTACATTAATTTCAGACCTCATAAAATAATTTCTACAGTAACCCCGGCCAACAGGTGCATACCCTGTAGAAACGTGTAAATTCCTACAAATACCCAAGGAGCTTTTCTTTCAAAGTTAGTGTTCATGGCCACACACAGCCCAAACTACACAGAGTTTCTTCGACTACATGGACAGCGGAGGTATTTGGTTTGGATAAATCGGAGTACTCTTCAAGGCCATACTCAACCCCATTTCACACCCCAAAAAGAATGATGGCCGCTACAGAAGTGTTAGTGAAGAGGCTCAGATGGCAAAGGTCTACAATGGGAATCAGAAGTTCATGTGGCTCCGTCCCTTATGGCAAGAGCCCCAGCGCGCGCAATAGCGTGCGTGGCCGCCTGGTCTTCTTATATTACACATATAATCCCTGTCTAACAGTTTTACTCACGAGGGTGTTTTTGCTCAGACCGGGATTTTTCAGTCATCTTCATTGGATCTACGTCTGCATAAGTAGGGCTGGTGCTTCCTATCACGTGCCATGAGGTTTTCATGACGTTTTGAAAGTTTGCGTTCGCCAATTCTTCACACTTGAATATTCTCATTTTGTAAGAACAGTGTTTAATATTTGTTGTTAGAAATAGCCGTATTCTCTGAACCGCCCCTTAGAAAACAACTTGTCGTTTTTATGGATCCTCTGCTACCACAGATGTATCCTGCTGGGATGTATCGTCGTAATTAATCTTTTGAACAATAGAATTTGTTGAATATCTCACCTCACACTATACCTAAAGTGATATCATAGCATCATTAGAATTTCATTATAGAGCGCCCTTGGTATAGACTGAGCCAAGCGGCCAAGCCCCAGCCAAGCCAAGATGTGACTACTGATGAGAAAATAAACAGAATGGATTAAGTAGAAAAGGCTTAAGCACCTCTGCAAGAGCGGTGATCGCATGAAAAGTAGGGAGAAATACAAGGGAAACACATTCACGCAGCTGCTACCAACTAATTTCTCCACGAAGAAGCAATGGCGAACCCACCATATTTTAGAGCTTGACTAGTATATGTGTAATGAGCTGATTTGTGAACATTATTCTGATTTTGAAGGTCTGCGAGATCAAAAGGTGCTAAGAAGCTCAAATAAAAATTCCAAAGCTGTTGGTTCATTAAGGAAAAATGCTGCTCCGCGAATAGAGACCAAATTCAAGGAACAGAGAAACAAGGGGCCAGTCGAAATAGATTGAATACTCAGCGACCTCCCTTTTTCACACCCTCCACTTGTTTTGTTTTTTCTCACACTCATTTGCATCTCAATAGTAATAAAGGAGAGAGAGAGGAAGAAGCTGAGGCTGAATGAAAATTGATCCACACCTTAACATGAAATGATACAAAATATTCAGAGCATGAAAGCATTTCAATGAAAATATGAACACTCGAATCTGACAACTTCAACTAAATCACGTGTAGTCTCTCTCATCATCGATTCAATCTAGCGCGTGCCAGTAAAAATGCCTCGCTGAACGATAGAGTCCACTGAGCCCTATTCGCTCAATATACACACGGAATTTATTCCTTTCGTTCCTAGCCTCGGTGAAAAGGTCTAATCGTCAAAGCGACGGCCGTCCTTTCGTTCGTTTAATAGAATCTCTGGCAGTTCCCTTTCCACAGCAGGTCGAATGACGCTGAATACATGCTCATCCTGTGCTGAGCCAGATGAGCTTCCCTGCCTCACTACTATCTCGGTGCTCTTGAGCACTTGTCACGCCGAGCGTTCCCTTCTGTTCAGCTTCGAGGCTAGGTCGCTCGTAACGCTGACTCTTTGACCAAGGTACATAGTGCTAGAACAGTCAGGGTTTTTCGTTTTGTCTGGCTTAGAAAGAAGCATCAGTTATCATTCCGTTTCTCATGTGCATCTTATTATAAGGCTCAAATGCAAACTGATCTCATAAAACTTGACAAATTTAATCAGCATTCATCCAGCCTTTTCGATGTTCGCTAGCATAAGCTTGAAATCGTTTGTGAAGCAAAGGTGACGTCAGCGCAGGTCCCTGAGCATCATCCCATTTCTTCTGATTCCCAACGACGCACGATGCTCTGAAGAGAGGCGCTGAAAGGGTTGAGCAAATGAATTGATATGACCTTGTCCCGCTCCTCTCTTGAGTCCCCTTGATCATTATCCAGCGATGGGAGTGTTACATTCGGGATGCCAGCCGATATGAAGGGTTCATGGGAGAACTGCTCTCTGACTGTTACTGGACAAGGAATTTCTATCGAAAAGCAGTTTATATGAGGCAGTGGATGGTAAATGAGAACGAGGTTCGCAGAGTCGTAAAAAATGGAGATAAGGAAGGCCCTTCTCAAGAAATACTCTAGATGGACGAGAGACCAAGGCAATAAGGGCTACTAGAACACAAAATTAGGTGGTATACTAACGTGCTGAATGCAGACACAGCAAAACGAAAGATACCGAATGGTCGTAGAAGCGATGCTGTCTTGCTTCTGTCTGCTTTCTTGCTCATTTTCACCAGACGCGATGGATTTTTCAACTGCTGTGAGTTCAGGTAGGCTACTTGGGCCGAGTTTGCGCGGAGAATGTGTTGACTAAAGCCGAGGGAATCTGTCGCAGTCAAACAGAAAAAGAAAGCTCCATGCTTGGAAGGTTACAACATTTGCCATCTCAACCGTTAGACGGGTAATATAGAAGTAGGGTTACGCCGACTCTGCTACGAAGGACAAAAAAGTGAAAATCTTTCGGCGTTGATCAATCCTGTCTGAGGGATGCACCCCAGCAATGAATTCCGTTCAGAATCGTAGTGGCGTATTGAATAGACAGTACACTACCTCGGAACAAAGGTAATACTGCATTGTAACTGATCCCATATTTATTGTATTTACTGAAGCTCCGAAGTAGGGGAATTTGCAGAGCTTTGCTCATAAGTATTACTTATAACTGCGGAGGGTTTAACCCATCGACGACCGCGGGGCCCGCCAGCGGGCCACACCATATCGTGCCCCTGTAGTATTTATATTATTTATCAAGTGTTCTTATAATTTTTTTATGTTTTCAAGTATCAGCTTAGAAAATCAACCTTCTAGAAAATCTTGAGGCATCGTGGTCCAGGAATCATTCACTTCCAACTACAGTTACAAGAGAAATTAAAAGTTAAAGTAAGGACAATGTAAAAGGCGCAGTCGCCAATGGGTTAATCATTACCAAAAAACGTTTCGGGGAATTTTCACGGGCTTTGCATTTGGAAATGCTAATGACGACCGTCTTTTCAAAATATCTCATTTTTCGAAGTTGTTCAACGAATGAAAAATACACCAGGGTAATGTACTCTTCCAAAAAAAACACCTTTGATCCTTTCCCTAGTGTGTAGTGCTGGCGCTCATATGCCTCTTAACCAAATTAAGCATTTTCAGAATCCAAAGGCTCTTCGAGTTCCAACATTTCCATTATCCTGTGGTCGAACTCGGTCCAATAGATGTCTCATTAGTTTCAGTGATCAAAGATAGAGATGTACGCTTTGTGTTTAGGGTGGAAAGCAATGGAGTGTCATGGTGAGAGTTTCATTTACTTGCTTACATCAAACTGTAGGTCTGCAAAATTACATAAACGGAGTAAAGCGGAAAGAACAGGTTATGGATTGATTTCATTATTTTGATATCTTATTTCTTGGTCGTGACAACATCTGGACCACAAGGCTGTCCGTTAACTTACTATTGCGTTTCTTTGTTGAGAATTGCGAATGCTCGTTGTGAATCATTGACATGTCAAGGCAGATTACTCGATCCCGTGACCAGTTATCCCAATTTGATCGACAGCTGCATCACTGTGTGTTCGAGAGACGATTCTCACGTCTTGAAGAGTTGGAAATTCTGGAGGAAACAAATGAGAACAGTGTCAAGGTAATGCACTCATACTCGTGGTAACTACTTAAAACATTATCGCAAGTGAATGAAATGAATGGGAAGTTCTGGAGCGTACAATTATGTTTTTGGTGATGACGTCACTTTTTTGACTTCTCGCGAGTCCCAATCATGTGGCGCGCTCATTCGAGAATATGAGATGCGTAGCGGTCGCTAAAGGCACAGTTCACGATAATTTTAGGTAATCCAGATCATGATGAAAAATGGAAGACAAGATCGAAAATAGTGCGGTGAAGGTGAAGAATCCGCTTGAATCGGTGTTTCCAAAGTGAAAAAAGGCTTCAAAGAACAGTTAAAAGAGCGTAACGGAACTTCTCCCCTATCGCGGCATTCTCCCTTGCGGTATGCGGCAAATGTCACTGCAATTACCGTACTCAACCCGCCTCTCGCCAATCGATAGGACGCGATATTTTTCGTTGATTGGCCTGCTTTTTCAATGGATTTGATCGTTTTTTCTTCTGTTTTTTTAGTTTTCATGTTTATTAGACTTGATTGATTAAAATGACTCCTCCTATATAAACGACAATCAAGACCGCATTGGAATTGAAAAGAGCGGCGAGCCAATTCAAATAATTAAAGAACTCTCTACCTCACAAATCGCGTGCTCCAATCTTCCATCGCAATCCTGCGATAGGCGGCGGGTGCGGCGTGTGCGACGCCGTGTTAGGGGAGAAGTTCCCGGACCCGTTAAAAGAGGGGCTGGACGAGAGAGAGACCAGAGAAATGAAGAAGAGTGGGGCGTTCGGACAAGCTATACAATGTGTCTCACTGCGTGCGTAGGGGGTTCTGGTGCGAATAACAGACTATAGTAAGCAAAAATTCATTCACTTATGAGCATAAGTAGACAAAAAACCCTAGTAACATCAAAAGTAGCTCACCTTTTTCAGCCTCTGAGAGTAGGAAATTAAAAAAGGGATTGCGGCAGCAAAAAGAGTAATAGAGGAAACGAGAACGGAAGAAAAACATCGCCTCATCACTCGGCGATATTATGTGGGTATTGTGTGTGGGTCCTAGAACGAATAGTTGCAATCTGTATTGTCCCGACACTCGTCCACCGTGGCATCGATCGAAGGGCGTTAAAGCCATTTCGGCAGCAACGGGGCTTCCACTATGCCCTATGCCTAGATTGTGGGAGCGAGAGGGTCCCTTCTACCACCCATNGGGGGGGGGGGGGCGCTGAGTATTCCCGAAGGAAGAGCTCAATTCCCTTTTTATCGTGAACCGTGCCTTTAAATATAGCGAGTGAATCAAGTTAATATCGTTTTTCTCAAGGTGCTACTTCCCCAATCTCTAATTGACTGAGGGTACTTCGAAAGCATGGTGCACCCAGTGCGCTTATTAATGTATGAATTCTGTGGACGTTGCCCCACTTTCATGAATTACTTCTTCATCCACGGTCTTGTTCTTCCCTGCTGTGAAGAGCGCTCTTCGTGAATGCAGAGTGACTGCCAATTCTTCTCTTCCCGTCTTTCTCCTAAGAGTGTATAAGAAAGAACATTCAATCCCAGTATCAATTATCATTACTCAAGACATTTTGAGTGGATTATTTGGCAAACTATAAGCTTTGGTGGCCATCTACATTCTCTGAAAAGTGAATCTGCTGTCCGAAGATCCAAACATGGTTCGAAATCTTACCAAGATCGTGCGAGATTTGTAGGTTGCAGAGTATTGGTCATTGAGAAAACCCGCGAAATCCGATTTTAGGCGGTTTTGGAGAGGTACACGGTTCGTCTCTCACAACTTACTGGTAGTATTATTACATGCTGTCCCGTGCTTGACTTTCTAGAGGTAGACGTTATATTTGTCTTCTTTCAAAACAGCTTGTTTCAATTATTCTTAATAGGTTGGCCATCGCGGAGGTCACTTTGAGCCTGTAGAAGATACTGCCATCAACACGCCAGCGGTCGCAGCCGCTATTGTCACTAAACACTTCGAGCCAACATCAAAGAGTCATCCTCGTCTGAAGGTCTTCTACCCTGTTTCGATTCATTTTTAACATGAGGTGTTTTTCATCGTTCTAGTTAGGTCCTTAGTTAATAGAAAAGAAGCTCACAAAGGTAAGTGAATGAGGAACGCAAAAAGAATAGGGTAAACTGTAAATATTGAGAATTTCCTTTGTCTAATCGTTAGCTTGACGCATTCAAAGGCACAGTTCACAATCAATGGTTTCTGCGCTTCCATCCTGGGAAGAACTTGTGACCCTCAAGAATATAAGGAGCCCTTTCTAGTCGAAAAATGGCCAAGATAAAAGTTAGTAACTGCCCCCAAAACCAGCTAAGCCGACGTGCACATCCGAGAGCGAACGAGTTCTCACTATGTAGAAGGTGCACCATTCGCACCAGGACGCACTCGTTGCAAGCAGGCATATTACTGTCGCCGGCTGCGATGGCACATACGTTTGAACAGCTCGTCCAAATACCCTTTCCATGCAAATTTTGCCATCACATGCTCGTCCACTCTGTCTCATATTACCTTTGAAGTTGCTTGTTCTCTCCTGTTTTCAACTCTATAATAGACAATCACTTTCATCATTCGTCTAAAACTAGATACCCCAGAATTATCGTGAACTGCGCCTTTAAAGGCACTGTTAACGAAAAAATGGTTTCGGAGATTTGCACATGTTGGTTTCCTTTGCTTGAACTCGAACGAGGTTGATAAGAAAACAACT